TGCACGCTGCGGGCTTGAAATTTAAACCCCAGAAATGCCATTTGCTACAACCATCGGTGAAGTATTTGGGACACATCGTTAGTGCATCAGGTGTCGCCACAGACCCGGAGAAAACGGCTTGTGTCCGGACGTGGCCGACTCCCACATCTGTCGCGGAGGTGCGTAGCTTTGTCGGCTGCGCATCGTACTATCACCGGTTTGTCCGCGATTTTGCGACGATTGCGAAGCCGCTGCACGCCCTCTCCACCAAAGCTCAAAGGTTTTACTGGGGCGCGGAGGAGGAGGCTGCTTTTGCGATGCTTCGCACGGCCTTGGCGGATGTGCCGCCCTTGGGGTACCCCGATTTCTCGAAGCCCTTTCTGCTTGACACTGATGCCAGTGACACAGGCATTGGGGCAGTCCTGGCCCAGGTGGTCGACGGGATTGAGAGGGTGGTAGCCTACGGCAGTCGGGTTCTGTCCCCGACGGAACAGCGATACTGCGTGACTCGGAGGGAGCTTTTGGTCATAGTTTTTTTGTTCAATTGTATAGGCCCTACTTGTACGGTAGGCGGTTTACAGTCCGAACCGACCACGCGGCCCTGCAATATTCGCTGAGGATTGGTCAGCCCTCAGGTCAGCTGTCCCGCTGGCTCGAGGTGCTCCAGGATTACCCCTTTGACGTAATCCACAGAAAGGGGGCACTGCATGGAAATGCGGACGGCTTGTCCTGATTGCCGGCAGGCGGCGGGTGTGCTTGCGCCCTGGGCTCTAGCCGTTGCAAGGCCCCAGGGGACGTCGCGGCCCAGTTGGTCTCGTCGGCCGCGACGGCCACCCCCCCGGGTGCGGCGACATCCGCAGATTTCGGCCTGGGACTGACCCCGGGAGGTATGGTCCAGCTTGCAGATGGAGGATTCCTCCCTGCTGAAGCTACGGCGACGCGCCGGACGTACGGCCCAGGGTTCAGCTTCGTCGGCGGCCCCAGCGATCGCCGTGCATGACGGACTCCTCATGCGTTGGGATGTCCAATTGGAACGCTATTGCGTGGTTGTGCCCACTGGCCTGCGTGGTAAATTAACCCGAGCCATTCATGTGAAGCTTATGCACCTTGGCTACCACAAGACCCTATTGACCCTTAAGCGGGACTATTACTGGCCAGGTGTGGAGGGTGACGTGGCACTGATTTTGAAGGGTTGCCACGACTGCGGGCGGAGGAAGGCCCCAGTTGTCCATGACCGGGCCCCGCTGCAGTCCATCCGGGTTTCTCGCGTTAATGAACTCATGGCGCTCGACATCTTGGGCCCATTCCCTGCATCCCAACTGGGCCATAAATACCTCTTGGTGGGCGTTGAGTACCTCACACGTTGGCCTGTGGCGTGGCCTTTGGTCGATCAGTCGGCCTCTTCTATCACCGAGGCGTTCGTCCAGGGGTACGTGTTGGACAAGGGCGCGCCGGAACAATTGTTGACGGATCAGGGGCGGAATTTCTCGTCTAAGCTGCTCAAGGAGGTGTGTGACCTCCTGGGCACCAAGAAAATCCGCACCTCGCCCTACCACCCCCAATCGGACGGGATGGTAGAGCGCTTGAACCGCACCCTCACTTCCATGCTGTGCCACCATGTGAACATGTCTCAATCGGACTGGGACCTGTTCGTCCCGGGGGTCTTGGCAGCGTATCGGTTGGCTCCTCACACCTCAACGGGATTTTTGCCTTTTTATTTAATGTACGGGAGGGAGCCGGAGCCCCCGGTGCACGTCCAACTGGACGTGGGGTCCTCCAGGAAGGGGTCGGCTGTGCCGGTCCCTTTGAAAGTCGCGCTTGACCGGCTGCGCAAGGCACGGCAGGCCGCTGCCAAGAATTTCGCCGGCAGGCAGGCGGCTAATGAGCGGCTGCCCAAACACCAGGCAGCGGGCCTCCTGTGGGTAGCGGGCCAGAAACCGTGGCTGCATTGTTCCCAGGTCCCGGTTGGCACATCTGCCAAATTGCACTGCCCTTGGCAGGGTCCCGTTGAGGTCGTGGAAGTCCCCCAGTCGCAGTGCATCCGGATTCGGTTCGGACGCCGGCGGTGGATAGTGCACCCGTCCCAGCTCAAACGCTATATTCCATATACCCTGGGGGATCCACCCCCAACTCCAGGGCGGCTGGCGGGTGATGCGTCCGTCATGCCTGTCCGGCCGGGTCCTGTTAATGTTGCGGCGTTCGCCCTGTTTGTGTGCCCCCAGGGCCCTTCCAAGTAGCGCCGGCGAGGCCCCTCTGGCCACCGGAGGCTACGGCGGTGGGCCTGTTGCCTGCGGACAGCCCACTTGCACCGGCGGCGGATGCCACACGGGGAAGCGGGCCGGCAACGCATACCCGTTCAAGGGGGATGCGGCTCCGGTGATGGTCTGGGCGGCCGTCGTAGGGCCCAGCCCAGGCGCCCGCTCGGCACTGCCGGCCGGAAGAAGCCATCTTACTTTTTCCCGTTCATTTGGTTGTTGTTGTTGTGATGCCTGGGATGCCGTGCTGCCCTAAGGTTGGGGTTTTCTTGCAGCCGGGACGGCTGTTTTTTTCACAGGGGGGGTAATGTAGAGGAGTAGAATGGGGAAGTGGCATCACTTGTGCTGTCCAGGGCGATGACGTGACATCATGCGCTCGGGGCAGCAGAGTGACGTCACGGCTCCTCAAGGATAAAAGGGGGACCCCGTGACGTAAGCGGGGTCGTAGCTGGAGAGTAGGGTTGGAGAAGGGTGGAACGGGGAGCCAGGGGCAAGAGGGTAGGGATAGGGGAGAGCACAGTGCCAGGCTAGACGTGGCTGTGCTCCTCGGTCGCCGTGTTGGCTAATCCCACGGCCGGGGCAGAGGAGACAGCACAGGGCAGCTGGCTGTGTCGGGACCTAGCCCGGGACCCCTAACCCCTGGTGAGTTGTTCACCCCTGTGTATTGTTAAAGATTTGTAATAAAACCTTGGCTGAAGCCCTTACCTTACCTTAGCCTCCGAGTGAGTCGTCAGGAACTCCTTTACAAAGGTATGTAGAGTGCAAGTTTTAAGCCGCTCTTATTCGACTTATAGAAAGTCCTCAAGTACTGCACCATAGGCGCACCCCAACAACCTAGTACATATATAAACACCAAGCTCTGTCATTCTGTGACTGTTATTAACGCGGCACGGATTGGTTGAAGTGTGCCACGTGACCGTGAGCAAGCAGCCAACCAGAGGTGCACCTGTCCCAAACATGTACGCCCCCTGATTGGTTTAAGTGCGTCATGTGACCGCAAGCAAGAGACTGGTGACTGAGGAGACGAGAGAAATGTCGTGAGAATTTAATTGTGTTATTTTATTATTTTATTCTCTTTCTACGTGACTTTACCGAAAGAACCAAAGAAGAAAAAGTGAGGAGACGGCTGAGTGAGAGTGAGGCAGGGCCGTGCTCCGTCCGCTGCTGCCCTGAGGGAGACGGGTGAGTGATAGTGAGTCAGAGCCGTGCTCCGTCCACTGAGAGATACACAGACGAGAGATGCACAGATTCATGTACGGGAGTATACAGACGGGACATAGACGGCTTTATACAAGCAGTGAGTGAGAAAGAGAGAGACCGTAGGCCCGTGTGCGAGTGTGTGTAAGTGTGTGTATGAGTTGGGAGCGATAGTGTAGCGGTTAGCACGCTGCGCTATGAACCTGGCGACTCGGGTTCGATTCCCGCTCACGGCCAACACCAGTGACGATTATCTGAACCGGTCCCGGGCCTTCCCTAGGTCGACTCAGCCTCAAATGAGTACCTGGTGCGGTGTGTAAATATTGCCACTAGGGAGACAAAGGCGGTCGGGCGTGGTGCTGGCCACCCACCCCCTCGTGTACCGATCCGGCCTTCATAGTCTGTTAAGGCTATACGGGGGATTTGTGTGCGTAGCCGGGTGTGGGCTGCTTTGCACCCGAGGGGTGCTGAGCTGTCACCTAAGCGGCTTTCCAGGGACGCTGGCTGCAAAACCCGCGGCGGATCACGCTGCCTGCCTGGCCTGGAGCCACTGCGCCTCAATCAACACTGAGCCGTCGCTGCTGCTGCACCAAGGAATGAGCCGTGGACATCGTAGGAACCCCCTTCGCTCGTAGAAGGAAGCTTTCAAACGCAGTTCCGAATGTCTATCCGATAGTAAGCAAAGTGGATCAGTCCAGGCCGTAATGAAAAGAATCAAGGTCGGGTTTTCCCACAAGGCATTCGTTATCTGCTGTAAACAACCCGCAGTGCCCAAGAGAGCGTCTCCGGGTTCAAGCAGCGTTTAGAGTACAGTATTTAGATTATTTAGCTGCTATGCATGTCCAACAGCCACTTTGTTGAGCAGTCATTTTTGATGGGCAGGTCGCTTCTGAAAAATAAGCCAGTAGCTCAGTGGGGTATTACACTTGGTAAAATAAAAATAATAGTTTGGTTTTATTTGCATGTTTTTACCATCATGGTGAACGCCGATGGGCATTTGTGTTGATGCGCGTGCATGCGCGTTGAGTAGCCGTGCGTGTGAATGTGAAACAACAACGCAGCTGAAGTAAGTGGTGGGTGCGGCTGTGAATGGCCGGCACGGGGATCTGCAGTCCTGGACACGGTGAAAGTGAGAGACGGCGACATCGCCAGCAGTGGGTGATGGAGGCAGGTAGAGTTGGTAATACATTCACACTTTTAGCAAAAGGCTCAAGATTCCAGGATCTGTCACGGGAGGCTACAGATAAATTTAATCTCAGATGCCACGATGACATTTAATCAACTCGTCACGTTGGGGTAATTACACGTAGGTGGAATTACAGGACATGATGGGACGTCTATAACTATGCCAACATTATTTTTATTCTACCAGGCAACGCTCACAGAGCAATGTGGCTATTTTCTGAAGCGACCTGACCACAAATGATGGCTTATCACGTGGAAATGTATTTGGCCAACTACTCTAAACGCGTGATGTTGATTGTAAATGAGGAGAGGAAAACAGGAGGACCCAGAGAACAATTTACGCGACCACGGAGAGAGAGACGCCAACTTTAAATAAAAAGCAGGCGTCAGGATTGGGAACAAACCCACCACCTCCTGTATACCGGGCGAGGGAGATAACATCTTGCCACCAACTTGCTATAGAAGTTCATCTCTAGATACTCATCTCACGAATGAGCCACAGCAGCTGAGTCTCTCCGATTTTTATTAACAACATGACTCATTTCTTTAAATGGCGAGGTGTGCACAGTAGCCGTGTTCACATTGAGGCTGCTGTTTGCACACTTTGGGGCACGGGTTCACATTCCAGGCGGTGTCTCGTGATGTCAGTGACGACAATGAAAGTGTTTTAAGTATTTTACTTCCTTCTTCATCGTCACTATAAGAGAGAGGTCCTGGTCCAGCGTCTCTCTGAGCCACACAGCGAGTGATCCCAGCGAAGCCATGGGTCATAGTGAGCGCGACTCCTATTGAGAGTGTGGATAGTGAGCTGCGCTGCTCCATCTGCCTTGGCACGTTCATCTGCCCCTCCACGCTGAGCTGCAGACACTCGTTCTGCCTGCGGTGCCTGGAGGCCGCCTGGGAGACGGCGAGCAGCTTCAGCTGCCCGCAGTGCCGAGCGACCTTCCCTGTGCGACCCCAGCTGAGGAGGAACGTGGCCCTCGCCAACCTGGCGGAGGAGCTCTGAGTTGGGGACAGGATGGCCGCGGCCGTCGTGTGTGACAACTGCGGTGACAGCCACACTCCTGCAGTGAAGACCTGCCTGAGATGCGAGGTGTCCTTCTGTGCAACACACTTGATGCCTCATGTAGAGAATCCCAGATTGAGTGACCACGTCCTGGTGGCTCCCATTGCGAACCTGAAGGAGCGAAGATGCCCTGAACACACAAAGGAGATTGAATTCTACTGCACAGTAGACAACAGCCTGGTCTGCTCAACTTGCACCATCGCAGGAAAACACAAAGGACACGATGTCACCACGCTGAAGGACGAGCACGAGACACGGAAGGTGAGGACCTCAATGAGATACCGCAACACGATCTGACCAATTCTGTCACTGGGCTGCACAACATGTCGTGAAAAAAAAACAATTGTATGTTCATGCTCTGTTATGATTGGCTCTCTCTGCCTGTGTAGCCATCTCCTGCTTGTTGTTTTAGGAAATGACCTTAGGATGTATTGAATGCTAGGTTCTCACTAAACATAATTCTCGTGTAAAGGAATTGAGTGGATAGATATTTGACACCGATATCACAGCCACCTGATAGACAATTCTATTTTAATTATCTTCTAAACTAGACAGCTGTGGGCACTTGAGCCTTTGGGTCCGAGTCAGTATGGCCACCCAAGCCAGCACAGCTCCCAGTGGCTGCTGTTTCAACGAGGCATCAGCTTGCCCACTCCGAGTTCCCCCCATCTCAGTCGCCGTAGAGAGGCAGCGTGGAGAAGAGGGACTTCCCTGTGGGGGGGTCGGTGTGGATGGAAGGGCGGTGTGAGGGGTGGCTCAGGGGGCTGTATTCTCCCCCTGGTGACGTCTCGTCTCTCACTACAGACGCGCGTAGAGGGGGAGACGCGAGCGGTGGAGGAGAAGAGGAAGGAGGTGGAGGAGTCCATGAAGCGGATGGAGGCCACTCACAAGGAGGCGCAGGTACCGTGTCCGGGCCGGGCTCTTTGACCCCTGTGACCTCCACCCAGTGTGGAAATCGTGGAGGTCAAAATTAATTTAAATGAACTTCGTGCAGCTTCATAACTTTGACGCATCTTACTTAACTCTATAATTCACTATCAAACTCAACATTAACTACAAGTGGTCTGCACATTTACCACATTCGATAACCAAATTGGCGAGCCTGCCGCGAGGTCGGGTTACTCGGCTTGGCGTCTTCCATTCCTGTGGGAAAAAATAAATGTAGAGAGTGCCATTGATTGTCGGGGTGGTGCTGTGATGCAGCTGTTGCACTGTACTGGAGTTCGCTCACTGGCACGGATGTAGAGGCAGAAACACTGCACAGCTGCACCTCACACCGTCCCTAATCGTGTCACCGGAGTTTCTTTAAACTACAACTTTTATTTTACCAGGTAAGGCCCCACTGAGCTGTGTAGATTTTTTTCAGAAGCGACCCTGGCTGTCACAATGATAGTAGCTCAACAAAGTGGCTGACATCATCATCACATGAAAATATATAGCAGCAGACCCGTAGAGATACATAGAGACCCATAGAGATACATAGAGATACATAGAGAACCATAGCGATACATAGAGACCCATAGAGATACATTGAGACCGCTAGATATACATAGAGAACCATAGAGATACATAGAGACCGCTAGAGATACATAGAGAACCATAGAGATACATAGAGACCCATAGATTAAACGATTTTTTATTTTACCAGGTATAGCCCCACTGAGCTATGTAGATATATTCAGAAGCGACCCTGGCTGTCACAAACGATAGCAGCTCAACAAAGTGGCTGACATCATCATCACCACGTGGAAATATAGCAGCAGACCCATATAGATACATGGAGACCCATAGAGATACATAGAGACTCATAGAGATACATAGGGACATTTAGAGATACATGGAGACCCATCGACTAAATTATTTTTCTTTCACCAGGTAAGTCTCTACTGAGCCATGAAGCTCTTTTTGCAGAAGGAACCTGAATATCACAAATGATAGCTCAATAAAATGGCTTATCAGGTGGAAATTGATAGCAGCCAAATACTCTAAATACTGTTCTATAAACGCTTGCTTGAACCCGGAGATGCTCTCTTGGGCACTGCGGGTTGTGCACAGCAGGTAACGAATGCCTTGGATTATAAACCCGAGTCGGACTCGTGGGAAAACCTGATCTGGGTTATGCCGATTTTAAATGTGGAAGGAAAAGCCGCAGGACTCGGAGAAAAATCCACGCAACCACAGGGAGAAAGACGCAGACTCCAAATATGCAGAAGGAATTATCGTCGTGATCGACCCCACGACTCCCTGCACACCAGGCGAGGTAGTTAACATCTCGCCACATCTCGTTGGACCAACGAGGGGGCCCCCACCGGACTCCGAGTGCCCGAGTCTCAACATCCACGACCCCAGCGCCCTCTAGGGGAGAAACAAGAAGAGAGCGGCGCCCCTCTTGCCCCCTTGGCACGGGTCGACTCAGTCCCATGGGTGACTCGTCACTGGGGCATGATTCACCACTAGGGAATATTATTTTATTATTTTACCAGGTAAGGCCCACTGAGATGTGTAGCTATTTTTCAAAAGTGACCTGGCAATCACGAATTACAGATCAACCAAGTGGTTGCCATCATCATCATCATCACGTGTAAATTTATAGCAGCAGCCAAACATACAGAGACCCATAGAGATACATAGACACCCATATAGATACTAGACCCATAGAGATATCAAAGACACACATAGAGATACATAGACACCCATATACATACCAGACCCATAGAGATACGTAGACACACCATAGAGATACATAGACACCGATATAGATAACAGACCCATAGAGATATCAAAGACACACATAGAGATACATAGACACCATAAAGATACAGAGAGACCCCGAGAGAGACATACAGACCCATAGAGATATTATGCCCATAGAGACTCATAGACAGCCATAGAGACCCATAGACTAAACTATTTATTTTTATTTTACCAGGAAAGGTTCGGGGCCATTCATAAATGACGTCACGCACCTAAGGGGGGGGGGGGGGGAGGGGGGGAGGGCATTTGTGACGATGTGTGACGAAGGGGGAGGGGGGGTTGGAGAAATTACGTCACATCAAAATTTGCAACTTTAAAAATAATATGAATTTAACATAATTGTTATAACAATATTATTTTTTTAATTAATTTTCATTATTAACAATTTGATTATTTAAATTAACTAAGGTCACCTTTTATTTATACCATGAAGGAGCATTTTGCTTCTTCATGGGATAATGGAGAAGCATACATTTAATACAATTTGGGAATAATTGTTAATAAACATTTTGATTCTAATGATTCTACCAGGGCTTTTCATTCTGTGAAATGAATATCTGATTGTTATAATTGTACTCTCCATTTTTCTTCGTTCTACTTCAAAGATTCACAGAGTTGTTGTTTCTCTGTGTGCCTTTGTGTGTGTCTCTGTGTTGTCTCTCTCTGCCTGTGTCTGTCTGTGTGTCTCTGTGTGTCTCTCTCTGTGTGTCTCCGTGTAATCTATCTCTGCCTGTGTGTCTGTCTGTGTGTCTCTCTCTGTGTGTCTCTGTGTGTGTCTCTCTCTGCCTGTCTGTCTGTATGTCTCTGTGTGTCTCTCTCTGTGTGTCTCTGTGTTGTCTCTCTCTTTGTGTCTCTGTGTTGTCTCTCTTTGCCTGTGTGTCTGCCTGTGTGTTGTTGTATATATCGGTTATCAAAATTTGATGAAAATAATAAAAATTTAATACATTTTGGAAAATTGCGTAATGGTCCGAAATTATGTTATTTGATGTAATTATGCGCATAAATTATGCGAATTCGAGAGATAATCGCATTAAATTATGCTAGTGTGTGTGATGATTCATGTCTGCATTAACCACAATACCTGCAGTCAAAATGCAAACAAAAAAGGAGGTCTAATGATGTAGATGCTCACCCCGAGCCCTCATTACTTTGATAGTGCATTGTCTTTGAGCTGTACGCCTTTTGGTGTCATCTGGTCGAGCACCAATTGGGTCGAGGCTCAAAAGAAAGCCGTCCCTTGGTGTGGACCAATCAGTTTCAAGGACAATGCATATATTATCATAGTATGTTTTTTTGTTTGCATTTTGACTGCAGGTATTGTGGTTAATGCAGACATGAATCCTTGTAAAAAGGTTTCAGTTTTGTTGCCATAAAAAAGGGGAAAAACCCTATTATTACATTTTGGTACTGGCAAAGGAGGTCTAATGATGTCAATGGATTCGTTGGCAAGATTATGCCATTAAAAAGAAGACAAAAAAACGTACGACTGAGTTGCTTCTAAATGACCTTATCCACGTAACTCAATGGCAACAATGTTTCAATTTAAAGCTTTCGTGACTGCAAGGATTCATCTTCTTTGGTTCTTTCGGTAAAGTTACGTAGAATGAGAATAAAATAATAAAATAAAACAATGAAATTCTCACGACGTTTCGGCCACAACACAAGTAGCCGTCCTCAGGTGAAGAAACAGGACTGTCCAGAAGACAGCGCTTGAGTGAACCCTGTCAAGCTTGACAGCGTCTTTTAAGCTGTGTGGGAGGAACAGAGAGCCTTGACAAAGGAGCATTAACTGGAAGATTAGCATTACGGAGAGCGAACGAGCTGGGACTGGAGGAGGGGGGAGGGGAGTTTACATATAAATTAGCATGTAACTGGGGGATTAGCGTTGGTGTGAGGGAGAGAAGAGCCCCAAGGAGAGAAAAAATGGCGGGTTTTCCCATCTCCTCAACAACCAGCACCAAAGACCGCGACATTCAGGCGGACGGGTCAATCCATACTCGGAAGGGAGGAGGGGGGAGGGAGAAACAGTCACAATGCCAGCGAAAGAGCTGCGGTCTGACGGTCACCGCAAAATACAATTAATTAAGAACCTAAATGGTTTAAAATATATTTCCAATGGTTACTAAGCCAGAATCCATCCTCTCAGTTGAAATTGTCTCTGTGTTTGTATATGTGGATGGCTTCATGAACGAATCTCTCATGGTAGCCGGTTGGCTTGCAAAGAACCTCCGTCTTGGAGAAGTCAATGTCATGTGTACCCACTGAATTATAACAGTGATCTGCCACGGCAGAAGAGTTCGTCCTGCCGTGTTTCAAGTCTGCTTTATGTTCGTGGATGCGGTCCGAGATATGTCGTTTGGTTTCCCCAATGTAGTTGCTACCACAGAGGCACTTTAGTTTGTAAACGCCCGGGTACTGTATGTCTGGAACAGCATATTTTACAGATTGAACCAGATTTTGATTTAAAGCTTTCGTGACTGCAGTAATTCATATTCTTAGTTCTTTCGGTAAAGTCACGTTGAAGGGAAACAACAAAATAATAAAATATATTTAAAACAATAAAAATTCTCACGACGTTTCGACCATAACACAAACGGTCGTGAGAATTTTTATTGTTTTATATATATATATTATTATTTTGTTGTTTCCCTTCAACGTGACTTTACCAAAAGAACTAAGAATAAGATTGAACCAGATCACGGATTTTATGTACTGTGTTGAATCGGACCTGGATCTTGTGTTTATTCAGGATTTTGGAGATCTTTTTAGTAACTCCTGCAATGTAGGGTAAGGTGATGGTTTTGAGTGGCTCCTCAAAAGGATCCTTCTTCATGACTGGAGTGATGGCTTTGCGGATTGTGTAGTTGGAGTAACCATTAGCCCTGAGAGCCTAGTGTAGGTGTTTGAGTTCCCTGGCAATGTGTTCCTGGTCGGAAATGCATTGAGCTCTATGGTTTAGAGTCTTGATGAGGGAGTTCTTCTGGGATGGATGGTGGTGGGAATCCGGTTTCAAGTAAGCATCTGTATGGGTAACTTTTCTGTAGACAGAGTGGCTCATTGAGCCATCAGGTCTCCTTTTAATTAAGACATCCAAAAAGGGTAGCTTGCCATCTTTTTCGACCTCCATGGTAAATCTGATGGCTGGG